ATCCCTAACCCGTATGTTTTTATGAAAAAGGGAGGTCATGTGTTCATTCAATACTAGCTGCTAGTAACCTGCTAGTAACCCAAAGAATATCAAAAGACCAAGTGTTTGATTTGACCATAGCACAACACTAAACTCATATTTGCTTCTAACTGGGGAGATTGGAACTATCTGTTATTGTAGTAATTAACAATTAATAAATACAATATTAAGTATAATATAAGTAAACATCAAATACTTTCTTTAATAAAGGTACCTGAATCACTGAAATATTGTGCGAGTATCCTCTATAGATTCTGGATTGTTAGACTGATGTATTTACATGTTAAGATATATATATATATATATATTTGGATCAGGTCCATGGTGGAGCTTAATTGAAAGATCTCATACTGTTTGACACTTTATACCAACGTATTGTATTTTATATTTTCAATTGAAATTAAAGTAACTAGAACAGTAGGATAAATGCATTGTCAAAAGTAAAAACTACAATGTTCTATCTTAAATTTTGAGTAAATGTATAAAGTGAAATTAAATATAGGCCACTCAAATGCATTACAAGTACTTTAAAACTGTCACATGACTAAATTGCTTTACTACACTTACAATTAAAATGAAGGTTGACTATTTTTGGTTAAACAGTGTTTTACAGAACATCTTATTATCTCATATTATTTAAAATGCCAATAACGGTCTATAGTACACTCATATTTATTCTGATGATAGTGTCTGAATTATAATGTATATTTTTATACTTGATCCATAGTGTATTTTCTAAAAAAAATTCTATACTGCTGTTAATCATGTTTATACCTCCTTATAATGTTCATTGTGTAAATACATCAGCATCGTTCTGTCACATGTGTATATATTCATATTCATATAATACTTGAATAACTCACACTTTCTGCTTGTTTTGTACTTCTGGTTAGATGCAAACTGCATTTCTCAGTACTTGTACTCTGTGCAATGACAATAGGGTTAAATCTAACCCGATACATTTTTACTTTCAATCAATGCACTTAAGGTCAGGTATAAAGTGAAATTAAATATAGGCCAAGTACAATACAAGTAGCTCAAAACTGTACTCACAAGTAAATTGCTTAACTACACTTATTATTAAAAGTGAGCTAGACTATTTTAAGTTAAAGAGTGTGTTTACAGAACATCTTAACCCCAATACATTATTTCCTTAATCAATACACTTCTATAACAGGTCAGGTATGGAATTTATATGGAAGGGTGGTGATTCAACTCGTGTTTTTTCCAATGTTTCTCAATGATGCATTGCAATCTGAGATCATATCAGGGGTGGCCAACCCGCGGCTCTCGAGCCGCATGCGGCTCTTTGCCTAGTTTCATGCGGCTCTTCAGTTCATATCGAATTGTATATGTGTGAGTTTGGGGGAGAGACACTGACTCCTGACTAGTGTTGCACGGTGTACCGATACTTGAAAGGTACCGCGATACCCTGCCGTTAAAAACGTTACGATTCCTCCGTTTAATTAGTATCGGTACTTTAAGAATGACGGGGAAAGTACTCCGGTGAGAAAGCGCCGTTTTAATAAGAGCCGTGTGTGTTCAGCGCTCTGCTTCCACTCCCTGCACTGCAGCCGTGCCTGCAGTCCCTCCCCTCTCAAGCACGCTCAAGTGCCTCCCCTCTCTCGTGCACGCGCTAGCTGCCAGAGCATGTGAGAAAACGAGAAGCATGGCTGCAAGTGGGAGTGCAGCTGCCGCTGCGCCTCGGCTTGTTGACAAAAAAGACGCCAGAAGCGAAATTTGGAAGTATTTGAGCTATATCTCTGACAGTGAGGGCAAGCCTACGGACACCACGAGGCCTGTCTGTGAGAAATGTATTCATTAATTAATTTTATTTAATAGGAAATCTTGTCATTTATTTTATTTATTGTTCTCATTGTTTAAAAGTTGGTGTTATGGTTCTGGTGTGAAATAAACCACAATAATTACATTTAAGACTGTTTCCCTTTTTTTAAGAAAAGTATCAAAAAAGAATCTGAATCGCAATTCTTGACTTGGTATCGAAACCAAAATGTTGGTATCGTGACAACACTAGCTACTCCTGACAGTTAAACCTGATATTTAGTAGGTCTGTTAAGTATTAACATAATTTGGCCGGTCAAAGTTGTTTGGGCTCGGATAAAATCGCTCCGTTACTTTCGTCCCGTGTTACTTTCGTCCCAGCTCCCGGTGTGTATGTGTTGTGTCAGGTGTCAGTATGAGAGGATGACAGCGCGTCTAATTTTGATGTGGCCCAAGAGCCAATCAAAATAATACCTGTGATGCAATGAACCAATCACCTTTGAGGGGGGGAAACCTATCGTTGATTAAACAATATCCAGTGTTTCCCCTACCATTGTTTTGGAGGGGCGCTGCGCCCCGCCAACGGAGCCCCGCGCCCCCCCCCCTGAAATTCAAGGTGTTTAAAAAATATATATAATTTTTTTTTTAAATATATATATAGCACCAAATTGCAAATAATCTATAACTACTGTCACTTTTCACATTGAACATGTGCTCTTTTATTAAATAAACTAAACGCTTTCATTTTAAGTTGTGAGTTTAGTGTTTTTGACCCTAAGAAACACTGATGCATTAATCAATAACAATAATACACAGCTCCTCTCTCTGCTCCAGAGGATTTAAAAAAAATATATCCCAATGCCACAAAGATGCATCAGTGACGTGGTTGAAATCTTGTCTCCAGAAAACAAAAAAACGGAAACAAGCGGTATCAGTGACTATGTGTTTGATGTGGCTCTTTGCAGTAACATAGAAAAAATGTGGCTCTTAACCTCTGACTGGTTGGCCACCCCTGTCATAGATCATGCGCCAGTCGACTCGTAACTCTTTTCTTTTGTTGCTATTTTCAGGTGACAGACATTCAAAACATCCCACGGCGTTAACACTGACAGGCAATGATAGCCCTCTATTCACAATAACAACCCATTCTACGCAGACTTATGCGTAACATCCCATGTGCCTGATGATTAACATCTTTCAGGTGTAACAACAGGTGCTTGTTAAAATCCTGTGTTTCCTGTATTGCTGGTTTTTCATGGGTTTCTCCCTTTGAACCTACGCACTGTGGTGTCTCAGAGCAGGAGGAACTTTTTCACTCATAAGTTACAAATCAATGCAGAAGCAGGAAAGAACCAAGAGAAATAAAAATGTTGCAATTGCTGGGAGTAAGTAAAAACCTCTTTTACATGATCTTTATTCCTTTTATGTCAACTAATTATCCAAAGAGGACTGTCATTTATGTAATATTGACATGTATTTTCTTTTAACATGTTCAGACGGTTGTTGGCCTCCTCTTCATCATAATGTGCTTTTCCAAAGGACTCAAAGAGGTGAGTAATACAGAAGTACATTCTCCTTGTACATTGTTTTATGTTTTTTTAATTTTATTTAGAAAAATACATAGACATTTAAAGACTGCACCCAGCTGCTAGAGAATTTACCAGTTTAAGGAAGTAGGAAATAAGATGTGTTGCTCAGAAATCAAACTTATTTTTCGTTGACAGGGAATTAAATCTCAAAGAAAACTATCTGAATCCCTTCCCAACAACAAGAAAGTAAGTCACCAAACTAAGTTAAATGATTGTTGTTTACAATAACTGAGAGGACATATTTAACATTCCTTTCTTCAGCAGAAGGATCTGAGCGAAGAAGACGTGCAATTGTTGGCAAGGATCCTTTCAGTTGGATTGGTCGATGCAGATCCAAACTATCTCCACCATCTTAAATGCTACAGAGACTTGCGTGGTCCCTGATCTTCTTTCAAATAAAAAAACAAGGCCAAATACCGCAATATATTGACAGCATACTGCTATTCCTGGATTTATCCTTGGAGTTGTGATGACACCAAATCAAGGCTACTCTGCATTTTGTTTTGGATACCACAAGTCAAGCGATTCCTGCCTCCAGATGTTCCATGATAATGGAAAACATGCACTTTATTCAGGTCAAACATGACATTGAAAAACCATTATGGAATGTCCTCCCCTTTGTGTGGAGGAGAAGTGAATGGCGCCTATAATGGATGATGATGCTGATGGTGAATACTAACTGTTTCCTTTTGCCTCACTGTATACTTTGTGAAAAACAGCCACTGATATCACACATTCAACATTCATCTCTTTTCATTTGATAATGAATACATAGAAAAAGGCATAACTTGTGAAGTTGCTTTTAAGTAGAACTTGCTTTATATGCTTGCTTTAAGTTGCTTTACTCAAGTGTACATGTCATGTTTAATACCCGTTTGTTGAGCTGTAAAATGTAATTTTACCTTAAAACTTGACGTGTAATTTAGCTGTTGTACGCAGTTTCAGCCCATAATAGACAATTTTAAGTGAGATTATATAACTTTCCTGAACAGCAGCTGAGGCCACACTTGAAACAGATGGACAATTGCTAATTAGGTTTTAAGCTAAATGCTAAACAGTTGTTTACTGCTTGCTAGACAGTAGCACTAAGCTAAACAGTAGCATTTAGCTACACAATGTAGCGTTTAGCTAAATGTTTTGAATAGAAAGTAAAGAACAAGCTTCAAATAACACAAAGTACCATAAGTAAAAGCATTCATTCAGTATTAGTATATACTTTATTATTTAAATATCATTATTGATGTATACTGTGTTCATCACTTCGATGTTGCAGCTGGTAAAGAAGGGGCTTGTTTTTGAAGTACTTATATATACTGCCTGGTAGCTTTTGCGATGGGATCAATTATGTTATAGTAACATGATACATTTTTGTTTTGTCATTATATTTTGTATTCTTATTCTGGAGCTTCAAAATAACTTAAGTTATCAGATATATGTCGTTGAGTAAAAAGTGCAATATTTTCAGCTGAGATGTATTTGAGCAGAAGTAGCAGGATATGTAAATACTCTAGCAAAGTACAAGTATGACAAAATTGAACTGAAGAATATAACTTGATATCATGTTGAGTAACTGTACATAGTAATGTAAAGTTAGTGTCCACCACTGGTCACGTCCTTACCTAGAGTAAAGGAGACAAAAGGGAGAGATTAAACACAAATGAACTTGTAGACCTATGTTTTTGTCCATTTATAAACTTAATTTGTCTTACTCCAGAAGCGGCTGTTGAGCTTGTTTCCTAGCAGGTAGAGCAACACCACCACAGACATGTTGAAAAAGAAGAGGCCCACCAGACCAGGTGTGCTGAAGTGTGCAAGAAGGGGATACACCCAAATCCCCACTGACAAGTACACCCATATAATCCTGCAGAACATGTTAAGAGAGAGAAAAAAGTGAAACTGCATTACTGTATCTGTCAGAACAACTTGTACAGTCTTGTCTCTTGAACAATTTTTCTTGTGGAAACATTTAGTCACATAGCTTCCACCCACTAAAACTGACAACACTGATTGGAAGATTGTAACAGCACAAACAATTACTTAAAAAAGGTAGCATTAAGGTATGTGAGCCAACTGAAGGTTCAAAGTTACCCCTCAAGGTTCTGCAATGGACTAGTCCAGACAAGTAAGAGTACGAAATTAGACACATTGAGACACTGATTTACTTTTAGCTGCATTAAAACAATAATAAGACTGCGTCATGTTTAAAATGAAAGATGTTAAATCAAGAAGGATTCCGCTATATGTGTGTTCACTATATGCCTAATAAAAGGTTTTTTTGTCATGATTGTGCAGAATGTGCTGACTCAACACTTACCAAAATAAGTAGGCCGCACCCACACCTCCTAATGCTTGCAGTGCATGCTTTGTCTGTGGGTAGATGTGAGGCTGCACCACCACTTCTCCGAGTAAAAAAGGAAGGACAAGTGTGTGCTGAGAAAACAATGTGGGGATAATTCATTAGTGAGAGTGATGGATTATAACAAGAGAATGAGGATTTTTTTTATATAAGTTTGTTAAAAATACAGGTTAACGCACCATAGCGTGGTTCATCCAGGGAGGAAAGAAAGTGTCAATGGTTGCTGGGTAGACTAATTCTCTGTCATAGGCAAAGATCGTCCAGAAAAGTACAACAACAAACTAAAGGAAAAACACAGAACAATAGGGAGTTAATGTGTAGCACAATTCTTTTTTTATGGTTAACAATGTATGGAAGTGTTTTGTGTTTCTCACCGTGCCAACAGGGAATGCAAAGACAGAGAAGAGAAGGTCTTTACATCTGTTCAGAGTACTCTCTGCCTTGTTACCAGCTTGTAGATCACTCAGTGCCGCCACTCCAAAGAATAACATTTGTAATAACTGGAATATTGAAAGCAAACTTATCATTTACCATTAACTTAATGTTGAAAATGTCTAACAAATGTGCTTTATATGTTATTGTACTCACCAAATTCAAAAAAGTAAGGTACTTCCAAGGTCCTCCATACACAAAGATTCCTGGTGGTAACTGCTCTCCATCCTTAGCAGCGAGATTCTTCACAACAAAAGCATACCAGCTGAATGCTGCGATATGGTAAACTCTCCTTATGGTTAAAGTCATTCTAATATAAACGTATACTGAGCCCTGACAAGCAACAAGAATAAATTAAACACTGACAAAATAACTAGTCTTTAAAGCATCCCTTCAAACTGTTGTTTCTTTGGGCAGAGAATGTTCTTTAAAGATTAGTGTAATGCAGCACAAGCTTATCAAGACGTTTGTAAGCAGCGGAGACAAGAAGCCCACTGTTTCTAATGAAGCATAGGAGTCCTTCTTTCATAACCAATGCCATAGCATGTGACTGTGCACAATTTCAATTACATAAAGAGCTTAAAGGGTTACTTATAGTGTTTTGCGAGAAAAGCCCCCACCCAGCACCAAGAGTGTTGTTTAGTAGTTGAATTGTGACTTCATGGAGGGGTACACATTTTGTTGTCAATTGAACTGAAATAAAAAAGATATACACTGCCTCATTAAGTTCTTTGTAAATAAGATCACAAGGCATGATACATCTCAAGTGATGTTTGGCAGATTTAACCCTCTATGGTACGCACTATGATGCCATTTGGGAAACAAATGTTTGGAGTGTTTTTTTGTCATATAATAGACCAAATAAACATAATCTAAAGACATTTTAAATACATAATTATTTGGGGGTACTTTTTGGGGTGCGTTGCCTTGAGGCAACACTGTACCATAATGGTAAATTATGAAAAAAGAGAGTTATTGTTTCAAATTTGATCAAAATGTATTTAAAAACACATGGAAAATACTAAATAGCCTCAACAGGTTAAATTACATGCCAATTAAAATGTGAAAATCGTTATTTTTTATATTTGAACAAGATTACATGTCTGAATGTTGCCTGCAGGCACATTGTACCATTGTGAAACAACCTTTAGGAATAAATATGCGAAGAGCCTAGGCATCTTTCATCACACTTTATTGAGCCATTTGACAAAATATACTCACTGCTTGTGGGAGTTCATGAAGCAGTTATTGTCAGCAGTGAAGCACAGGTACGTGACACACTTTGATCACTGCACTTTCACCCTTACAGCCAGGGTATTTGCACCAGCCCTTTTTCTCCACCCACACAGGCCAATGGTCAGTGTGGTCTTGATGCACATGTGTTGATGGCACTGATGAGGAAGAACCTCTGTGCTTCTTCTCAGCCAGGTCTCTGTCAACATTATGAGATGGTCTCCCCCTCTTTTTCAAGACTTTCCTCTCGTTGCAAAGACAACTTGCAACTTAAGCTTTGAATTTCAGCAGGCTGTACACTTATTTCTTGGGGATGCCGCAGTCCTTGCAGTCCCTGCGGTACACGAGCCACGCATTCACTAGAGTGAAACCCATCATGTGCAACACGATCTTGTGATGCCACTTCCTTGACCTGATCTTTGTTCTGTAGAGCAATCAGCGAGTCTAGAAGATCCACTCATCCCATACTTTTATTGTATGCATGCACGACACTTGGGCCGGTAACCTGCAATGTTTCTTTCTTTTTCTTATCCCATCTTTGCACAGATCGTTGGGTTCGCTTTAACATCAAATGTATCTTGGTTAAATTGTAGAGATCTATGATGAATGGCTTTTGAACAGTTTATACCTAAACACACAATACCACAATATCATGGTGAATCCATAATGGTACGGTGTTGCCTCAAGGTAACATTTACAATTGACCATAATGGTACGATGTTGCCTCCAGGCAATATTTGCATTTTAACAAGTTAGCAAATTAAGTATATTAAACTATTAGAAATGAAGGTTTACTCATTTTTTTCCAGACAAGAAATGCGCAGGAAATGACGTTTTTAGACACATTTCTTGGAGAGAAATGGCTGAGCTGATCCTTGTGGGAAAGGCGCATGGATGTATAATAAGGGAAAGGCAGCAAACAGGGTCTTCAAATTGGCCGCCAGTCATGGGACAAATTCAAACACTACTATTGGTTCCTTATGGTCCTGCCTCAGTTTTAAAGTATTGCATCATCATTTGAGATGTATTGTGTGAATGTAAAAGGCAAAAAATGGGTATGTTGCCTGGAGGCAACATCATACCATAGGGTTAAAATAGACACACGTTTGCTCTCTTAGGTTGAATAAAGACAACATTGTTAAGCATTTTTTTAATGAAGTGTTCTCGCGAGTATGAACGTGTTCAGAGATTTGCATGCTGCTAGTTATGGATAATCTTGTCCTGAGGGTGGTGCTAGAGGAAAGGTCATTGGGTTGAAAGATTCATGAGATGAAGGGATGCCTTGTGTAGGCGAGGAAATCAAAGTAAGTCATGCTTCGATAACCTCATAACATGTTATCTAAATTGTTCTAGTACAGATGATTGTTTGCAGTTCAATGGATCCTCTCATTAAGCCGAAGAAGAGAAAAGATACGCTATTTAATCCATATTTGACAACTGACCTTTTAATCATGTTTTAAACCAATACAATCTTTGTGTATGTCATTAGTTTCTAAGATTACATTACATTGCATTTAGCTGACGCTTTTATCCAAAGCGACTTACAATAAGTGCATTCGACCAAGAAGATACAACCTTGAAGAAAACAGAATCATATAAGTACATCAGGTTTCATAGAGCCAAAACATTTCAAGATTAATACTTGATACTCACACACTGTCAACACACGTTATAACAATTTATTAATTCTTTAGAGACAAGTAAAAAAAGAGTAGTTATTTTTGACAGAACCCATTTTGATCTATCCCATTAGAAAAATTACAGGAGTAAATAATGAATGATGTTTAAGTTCCATATACGTTTCAGGGTGTTATTGTTTATGCTGGCTAAATGGGACATTTGACTATAATGGAGTCATAGTTAATGTTATAATTAAGACCTGTGATTTCCCTATTATGTAAGATCTGAAAAAGATCTAAACAGCAATTACTCAATTTAGCCACATTTTATCAACGAAACCAGCGCTGCTTCTCATAGTACCTTCTTTTGGCAATTTCATGACAGGATAACACCACCATTTGAAGACATTTGATTTACAAAGCGCAAGTGCTGCTGAAGACAGACTCAATACATCTAGTATTTCAAGGCACAATTTTACATACTGTCGTGTAGTCTTTGCAGCCTCAGATTTTCTTGTTTCAGTGTACAGGTATGACATGTGTTCATTGAAAAAAAGCACATTTTCAGAGACAAAATAGAGTTGGTTCTAGCTAATTACATAAGATAACACCATATACAGTCACTTGCCCCAGTGGAATCCAGCCATGCATGTAGCTTTGGTTTTAAACATAACAAATGACATTTTGTTCGTTTGATAAACAATTCATCAAAAATACCACAATATGGTTGACACTGTTGCTTATATTAAAATTAACATATTTTCACTGAAACAAGAGCCCTGCGTGGATATGAATGTATTTATTTACTAGTTTCACAAACCCTCGTAATAATCAGTATCTTTGTTTAACATGATTGTGAAAAACTACAATATCAAATACAGTATATTACAGACTCTGACTATAAAGATGATCTATTACACTTTTAAAACCAACATACTTTAATGTAATGGCTGTCAGTGCCGTTAAAAAAAGAAAGGACAGACGTCATCACAGAGATCCTGTTTCAAACATTGCACTTCACCCATGCAGTCAGTAAAAACACATCATTAATCATCAGATCACACACACGTAGTCGATGTTCATGTTTTGTTGGTCATTGTAATACAATTGGAAAATCAGGTTTCTATTCATTTGTTGAACTGCTAGTTTTACCAGTTAAAGCCAGCTCGAGGTCCCCTTCCTGTTTGCATAATATGCTTTTTTTGTTGTTGCAGAAAACAAACTAAAGGTCTTTGGTCAGAAAATGTCATTGGTCAGAAACATTTCTTGGTCATCATTTCAGCTTTAAAATGTAATCTTTTCTTTCTACACACACTTGATGCTCAGTTCATTCTTACGATTCCATTTACGGTGCCATCTGTGAAAGTAATAGAGAAACAAAATGAATAACAACTTAAGCAACACAACTTACATTTAAACAGGTGTTAGTAAAAATGGTGTTGTGTTTATACCTCAAATCGGCTGTAAACTTTCCTCTCCTTCCTCATATGTGTAATCTTCTCCAACAGCTTGTCACGCTCCTCAATTGACTTCGGCTGCCCTCTGCTAAGGGACCTGATACCTATTTCTTTCTCCCTTTTGGCATTTTTGTCAGCTTTGTCTTCTTTCTCATCATCAGTGACAGGAGCCTCTTTGGCAGCCTCGTTCCTGCTTTGGCTATTGGCAGAGATCTGCCCTAGAAGCAGCTTTGTATCGTCTCTGAGGTTGCTGCTTGAGATCACGTTGGCTGTTGATGATTGGAAGCGAGACTGGCTAGATTTTGGCTGCTTGGACTGTGGTGACGAAGGAACATCTGGTGTGATCTCTGGCGTTCCGGAGCAGTTGTTCTGGCTTACTCGTTCATTCGTTTTTTCATTACCAACCGACTCCCGTGTACTAGTCTTATTGACCTTATTTGTTGCCTTGGTATCACCAGTTTTCTTCGCAACAGGGTCAGTCTTTTCAGTCTCTTTCCTTGCTTCATTCTGACTGTCCAGATGTTTAGCAGGTACAGGTGGCTCTAAAGGATTGCTTTTTAGATCTGATACATGACATGTTTCAGGCAATGAAGGGCTAGGGCTAGTAAGTTTGCTATCAGCTTTGACATCCTCTGATGATCCAAGAACCTTCGATTCCTTTCCAACACCCTTTGTTGTTTCAGCCTCAGGTGACAGAGAAGAAGGAGTTGAAGATGATTCTGTTTCAGGAGGAGTAGGAGTGACATAACTTGTCACGTTGAGTTTGGAGGGAGGGGCCGCTTGTCTTTCTGACTGGGAAGCATTAGTAGTAGAGTCTGGGTTGACAGGAGAGCTGGTTTCTACTGGATAATGGTTGGGTAGAGGGACTGCTTGGGTGGGGGAAGCAGTATTAGTCTCATTTTGAGCAGATTTGGATTGACTCTCTAGGTCAGATGCATTAGGTAGACATGTTTCAGGCAATGAAGGGCTAAGGCTAGCAAGTTTGTTATCAGCTCTGACATTGTTTGATGATCCAAGAACCTTAGATTCCTTTCCAACACCCTTTGTTGTTTCAGCCTCAGGTGACAGAGAAGAAGGAGTTGAAGAGGATTCTGTTTCAGGAGGAGTGACAGAACATTTCAGGTTAAGTTTTGAGGGAGGGGTGGCTTGTATTTTTGAATTCGAAGCGTTAGAGCTTGGTTCTGCTGGACAATGTTTGGGTGGAGGGTCTGCTGGGGAAGGGGAAGGAGTATTTGTCTCATTTTTAGCAGATTTGGATTTGCTTTCTAGGTTAGATACATTAGGTAAACAAGATTTCGGCAATGAGGGGCTAAGGCTAGGAGGTGTGCTATCGGCTTTGACATTCTCGGATGATCCAAGAACCTCAGATTTCTTTCCAACACCCTTAGGAACAGAGTTGTTTTCTGATTCCGGGACATCTTTTTCAGAAGGTGTAGGAGCACTTGAATCTTCAGAGTCTGTCTTTGTATGGGACTGTAGTGAAGGTTTGTTTGGCTCTGAACGAGCAGCACATGTGTCAGGAGAAATGTCAGATTCCACATGTGCAGAGTCAGTTGCTGAAATGGTATCAGGTGACGTCAGTTGGGAGTTTGCTGGCAGGGAGGGGCTGACAGATTCCTGTGCATTAGGGGACAATATGCTGGGAGTTACTGTTGAGCTTGAGTCTTTCTGGGTAACACTAGAAGATATGGATTCTGATGAAGTGGAAGAAATAGCACGGCTAGACGAAGAAGGACTTGGACTGATCTGTGAACCAGTGATTTGTTCAGAGGATGAGCTTTGGCCTGATGGGTCAGAAGAAATGCTGGTTTCTAACTGAAGGGATTCATGGTTTGGAGTGTTTGAATCCAATACTGCTAATTCAGAAGATGGTGGGACCTTCTCTGAACTGGGAGTGGGTGAACTAGACTCTTTCGAGCTAGAATCAAGGCAGGGGCTTTTACTTTTATCTGTACCTTGTGCAAGGGATTGCACGCTAGCTGGAGTGGCATTTGTTGGTGTAGGGGGGTGGCTGGAGCTACTTGTTTTTACATCAGGATTTGACAGCTTTGGCTCTTCTGGTGATTGGCTCTGAGGTTTTGATGTTTCTGCAGAAACAGGCAGAGTTGCTTTTGTTTGGTTGTTACTAAGCTCTATCTTCTCCAAATCAGTTGCAACTCTGGTTTGTTCTTGTTTACAGCTTTTGGAGGCATCCAAAGATAGACTGGCTGCTTTGAACGCTTCTGTATATACTGGTTTCCCTGCATCCTTGGCATTAGCATTTTTATCTATTGAACCCTTAGATATAGAAGCATCAGCCATCTTTTCTGAGGTTTCTTTTGGTACAGGCTTCCCCTTTTCAACAGCTGTGTTGCTTTTCAGCTCAATTGGTGTTTTCATTGGAGCCTTCTCTTTGCTCTTTTCAGCCTCTGCAGAATTAGTAGCCTTGCGTTTTGCTGCCAGTTCTTTGAAAAACAAGAGCCTATTATCAGGATCAGACATGTCTACATACAAAGGAGCGGTGAGCAAAGGTTTGGTTGGCTCTACTGGTTGATCAGTTTTTGGCAGCTCAGTTTCAGAAGCTTTGGATTGGGGCACTGATTGTGAAGAATCTGCTTGCTCTACACTTGGCTGTTTTAATGTTTTTTGTGCCTCTGAAAGATCCTCTGAATTTTCATCCTTTGGCTTACTGTTACCATCATCTGGTTTGGATTGGTCTGTGGCAGAGTTTTCAAAGGTGGCTGACTTCATGTAACGACTCCACTCAAAAGGTTCTCTTGCAGTCCTCCTTTGTCCCATAACTTGAGAAACAAAAGGTAGTTTTGTCTGTTCTGCCTCATCTTTGTCTCCTTCCTCATCCTGTTGGTTACCTGGAGCAGTATTCTTCTGGTCCAGAGAGCTGAATATCATAGAGGATCTTAGCCTAGAGCTCCTCGGTATAGCTGCATTGTATTTCCGACGGAACGACTCCTCCCTCCGAAGGCCAGACATTTTTGGTTCCTTTTGTTCTACGTCCTCTAGTTTCTCCACTTCAGTTGTGGATGATGAGGATTCTGAAGGTGTTGGTGTTGTTTTTGTTTCCGCTGCTACTGCAGTGTTTTCATCAGGCAATTTCCTTGGCTGTCTTGTGGTGACAAAACTTGGCATCTGACTTGCCCTTGGTATTGCAGAAACCCTAAATTCTCTGAAATTAGGCATTTTTGGGAGTGCTAAATCTATGCCTGCTGTTTGCTGTATGGGGTTAGAGGGCACTTCAAATGGATCCTGTGCATTTAGTGGTGCTGATGGCAGGCCTTCCTCTTCTGGATTATCATGTGCACTTAGAAATGAGCTAATCCTCCAGTTTCTTAGCCCCCGTTTCACCAAAGGATCCTTGCGGTCAGCGATAGGCTCCTGGAAAGACTGCTTCTGATCAGTTGGATTTGATGGGGTGGGAGACGCTTGAAACGCTTGTTGGTTGCCTAGACTCGATCTTCTAGGGTGAGATGAACCAAACGGAAAATCTGCTATAGGTTGCAATTCCTCTGAGCCTTTGTCAAATTCGGCAATCCTGGTAGATGTTAAATAGTTGAGCACAGGGTCAAAGTTATCACCTGGTTCGACCTCTGGAGGTAAACCAGGCTCAATATTAGGATCTGCCGAATAAAAGTCTTGGTTCCAGAACTTCTCATTGGCACCGGTATCTGCCTCTCTTCCTGGGGCTGGTCCAGGCTGCTGCCCCCTGTAGAACTGCCTTCCCAGTTTCTCAGATTCTGGCATTCCCTGTTGCTGCAGGAATGGCAAAGAGTATCTACCATGACTGCCTTCAGCATAACTGTGACGTTTGAAGGCAGGATTTTCCATCGTGGGCATTCTGGAAGGGCCCTGATCAAAAGATGGATCCATGCGAGGATGCTGGGGTGTAAATCTACTGTGCATGTCTGCAGGGCCTTGCAAGGATTCCTGCTTTTTAAGGGCCATCATTCTCAAATCCATGCGTTCACCGTAAGGATGCCTTAGCCCCTCATCTGGATGACCGGTGTCCAGTGACTGAAATTTCTTTGTCTCTCTGTACATTGTTCTTTCTCTTGGATATTGACTCTTTTGTGAAAGGCTTAACTCTTCCATTGGAGCAAGGTTTTCAATAATCAGTGGTTGGGACTGAGCAAAAAGAATCCTAAACTCTTCATCAAAGGTCGTAACGAGCTGTCCAAGAAAAAGGTGTGCCATACAGCGGTGGAGCTTCTCAAAAGACCACATGAAGCTAGACAGAGACATGACAATAAGTATGAATTAACAGAAGCACTCCATTCATGACATACACATTTTATACAAAAAGAAACTAACTAAATGTATTCATAAAAACATATATCAATCACTCAAATTCTTGTGTGGTATGCAAGTGTAGAGGCGTGGCTTTCTGTGGCAGTTTTAAATGTGTTCACCTGTAGTTTCCACTCAGCACAGCCCGGCAGTCTGTCAACAAGAAGCGGTCCATCATCTGACCTGTGAAGGTGCTCCCTGAGCGGCAGTGGTACTTGATGCCTGACACTGTTCTCACGCGTAAAAGCTGCCAGACACACATAACCCAAAAATAAATATCAAGACACACGTTTACATATAGTGGTGTTAATGTTTAATTGCAGTCCAAGCATTGTTTTTAGCAAAACGAAAGGGCTCCATCTCAAGTTGCTTTACATAGTAGTATGCTGTTACTGTGATTTCTATCAATAAAAAAAACGGTCTATTCTTAAGTATATTTTTGTTTGCTCAATTTCTTTTGGAAAGAGTACAATTCAGTTCGAATAAAAGTAATCTCAATTCAGTTAAAAGGGCACTAGCCACATAATGTTGGCAAAGGAAAGGCTGATAAGTTGTCTTTGTTTGTAAGAGGGAGTCACCTCTAGCAACAGCTGTGGTGTACCCACTGCACTTCTGCTTTTTTCAACAAGTTCCGTTAATATGGGCAGAGAATGACAATTTAAGGATATGTCTAATCTATATTTTTGCCAACTTATCCTGTGACTCATTACGTGACTTTCCTACTCTGTCTGTGGCTCTAAGCCTCAAGACCATTTTTTTTTAAATTGAGGATTAGTCTTTGAAAATGAATGACATATATAAGCACAGATATAGCATGTCACTGTTGTTTTTAGCAAATTACTCTCAATCAGAAGTAAATAGTAAACTTGATGGGGACTTTATTTCAGCTCTGTTTGGTGCTCAAGTGGGTTAGTAACTGCAGCAACACAGTGACTCAAAGTAAACTACAGATCATCGGACAAAGGCCAGTGCAGCATTGTGCAACAATAATGTGTTTTCATAATTAGTTTGTTAGTCAGTCTAAACTAATTCAGTTTTGAAAAACACATTATTGTTGCCCAATGCAGTCAGTAAGTTAGTTAGTGAGTTAGTTTCAGTTAAATTAGTTATTTACTTCTACTTTCCAGGTTCGCACATTTGAAGAAAAGGGAAACATTAATAGAATTTAAATGTGTAATCAGCCTTTTCTGTTTGTTATTTTAACAGATTTTTTGAAGGAAAATGTGCTCACTTGAATGCTTTGTAGATCAACTCTACAGTTAGAAACCATGTTGACGAAGTGATGTGCGTTCTGCTCGTCTAAAAGGACGTAGACAGCAACATTTCTCATAGCAGCATTGAGAATATCCGCAAGTATGTCAACATCAGTAAACATGTCCATCACTATGGCAATCACCTGAGGAGATAGAAGCAAACAAACACATTGTAAAACACACTGTCAGGAGAATGACACTGTACTGACAACTTAAGCAGGAAGTCTCATAGAAAGTGAAAGATCTACCTGCCGAGCATTCTTGATAAGTCGCCGGGCCTGCTCCTTGATACTCGGCATGTCAGGCTCGGGGGGGTTGACCAGAGTGGTGACCTCTGTGGGCCCGATGAAGTGGTGCATCTGAGGCCAGCCGAGGTCCAAGCCTGGGACGTCCAGGTCAGAGTGAATCGGCCAGTAAGTGTCTGAGGAGCCATCTCCTTCATCCTCTTGATAATATTGTTCAGGGTTGTTGCTCTGCTGAGGCACCTGAACAGAGCTCGAGATATACTCAATCTCAGATGAGGCCAAGAAGTCCACCACATCTGCTTTTTGGAGAAACTGGTAGTATCCCTCCAATTCTTCCTCAATGAGAGCGTCAATAGCCAAGCGATACTCTTCCCGATAGTGAGGGGGGAGGTAGTTGGGGTCCAGGGGGTTATCCCCGGCAGAGGAACACTGAGAACGATGTGCCATACTGAAGTCTAAAGAGAAGGTTAGAGCAAAAAGAGTCATGTGATACATTCATTGTATTAATCATTTTAAAACCACAAATATGTTTCAGTTTCTCTAGATATCTCAACAAGAACACCAGCAATATAGTTCTGAATTATACCTTAACTAGATCTAAAACAATTTTACTGTTAAAAAACACTTTTTAAACAAAAATGGCCAAATGTCTCTGGTTCCTGTGTCTCAGAAGAACAGGTATAACATAATACCCCACCCACCCTCTCCACCTGCAGCTGGACAGACAGCGGAGCTCCTTCTCCAACAGACTGCTGCAGCTCCGCTGTCACAAGGACCGATACAGGAAAACATTCCTACCCACTGCAATAACTGTACAACAAATCACCTCTGGCTGGCAGAGAACTCTCTGATCCATAGCTTCTCTTAATAACTGGACTTAAAATCACACTGTACATTTATATTACATGTAATATTTAATATTCCATACACACACACTATATATATATATATATATATATATATACACATGTTGCAATATATATTCTACTTTTTAATGCTATTTTATTTTTATTTGAGATGTTTACATTTTGGATTGTTCATTTCTAGTCTTTTAATTTCTCTAATGCACAATGCCTTGTCTTTTTATGCTGCTGCAACACAAACATTTCCCAAATTGGAATCAATAAAGTACTTCTTATCTTATCATATACAAGGGAAAAATCTCTATAGGAAACACATAAATCATAACATTGACATCTCAAGGGAACATTGACCAACTTATTGGATCAAGAAAGAATGATCAGCTGCACCCCATCAATTCCTTTTACTCGTGTATTTTCTAGGAATCAAGTTATGACATGATCACATCCTATCATTTTACATAATTCTGTTGTCCATAAAACTGGAAACTCTAGTTTTTGTGTTAACTTGTGTAAAATGTAGTGTTTTTATTTGATTAAGCATCATGTTATTTTTGCATTAATTTGCCATATTGTGATATTAAGAACAGACATTGATCGTATTAATATTATGACATGCATTGCTACCATACGACACAGACCTATAGCTAAATAATGCTCATTATTTTTCAGGTCTGTATCTTCCATACAATAGATGCAGCCTAGAGGATTCCTATCAGTATAAAATAACTAAAGTAGTTTCAGCACAATGAATGAGTGGAGAAGGAATCTAACCACAGGACAGATGGGTTTTGGGTGTGGCTCCTCCCTCTGGCCAAAAGCACAAGTCTCCATTTGCAAGTTTATATTGTAAAGCCACTAATATACGAAGTGCCAAGTGGAAACGTAACAACCCGAACAAAAAAACCCAAACAAACACGAATGACATAACTTTAAAATAGAACAAAATTAATGAGGCGACACACTGACACATAAAGTGGTTAGCCAACGGAAGGTTTGAAAGTCCAATGTTGTATCGACAAACGAATTTTCCACTGAGCAAGATGACATATCGGAATTCAAATAAACGTAACAGATGTACAACTTTCTATCCTAAACCACGTAAATAATATGGTAGTTATTTTGTGAACTTACCACACTGTTATTGGCTCTTTACGCTTCTCCTTGGTTAAACGTTAAGTCCGTCATCTTGCCTTCTTCCCCATGTTTTTCTCTGCCGCTGCGCCGTGCTTCTGATCCAGGTGGGACTCGTCGAAAGTTTTCTGTTACATTACTTTTCCCCCGTCACCCAGCTAAACCAGTTTATTGTCATGCTTGATGCATGTTGGCGAGAATGTTGGAGACAGCAAACAGAGTGAGAAAGACTTGCCGTCGATAAATGTCGCCCCGCCTCGACGTTAGCTCCACACAGACAGTTGACTTCTGCTCTTCACAGCTCTGTGTTCATGCCTGTCTCAGGCAGCTGAGCAGGCTGAAATCTGCTCATGTGTAATCTGTCCACTGGATCTCCAGCTGGCTGTTGCTACATCTGCGATACTGCTAAGTGGATCATTAAGGTGATATGAGGCCTAATATACCTGCTCATATTCATTAATGTGTAAAACCCAGTGGCGAGCCGTCAGGGCCCTCTAGGCCCTCTGTGAGGGCCTCAAATATTCTAAAAAATAATATTTGAAAACATAAAAAAAAAAAAAAAAGTTTAAATATTTTTTTGTTGTTACATTTTTCATTAGTTTTACCAAAATAACTTGATTTAATTGTATTTAAAATAACATTTCCAAATAAATAAATCCTTCGAATCTGCCTGTTCAGTTTCTGTTGTTTCTGTTTTAATACATTTTGTAAAAAAGAGCAGCTTGCAGTACATAACCCGCTTATTACATTGCTCCTTACTAAATATACCTACTAAACCTTACTCAACCAACATATTGATCACTTATTGAAAAATTATGATTTTTTGCTTATTTATTTCTCATCCAATGATTCATGACACCAAAGAGCCCAGGGACCCTGCCCAATTTACCTAAACAAGGATATATATATAATTGCACTCAGGCATGGCTAGCCAAAAATGATCAGACCTTTCAAAAGCAAAACCTTATCAGATGCCCAGAAGTGGCAAGGGAACAGAACCACATTTAAAGTTGTAAATCAAACAACCAATCTCTCAAGTAAAGAGTGAAGTTAGGCATTTTGTGTGGCAACAATGTTAACCTCGAATGTGATCAACTCACACCCCTTTCTGCAGGAAAACAATCTTCTGCCATGTATGCCTAGCCTTGAAGTTGGAGGAAGGCCGTCAGTATATCCAAGATCGGAGCTTGAGCCACACATTTAGTTAAAACCTGAAAGGAGAGAGAAAATGAATGACCAAATAAAGTAATTTTCCTTAACTTGTTGCACCACACTAAGACTTCAAATAGCCTCGGCAGGATACAATCTGATGACTAAAGAAAAGGAAGTGATGCAATGTTGCTGCTCGAGTGAAGACTTGAAGACAATTCCTCATTGTTGCCTTCAGGCACCACCCAAGGCACACATAGGAGCAGTAAGAATATAAACATGACAATAAAGTGTAACTGAGTTCACAGATATTTGCTAAACTACATACTGAGTGCAGCAATTACAAATCATTTATGTCTTTAGTCTTTTAACTATGTGGCTCTGAAAAATGGCAAACAATAAAATGTATTAGCATTAGTGCCCTTCCTTCTAGTTTTTGACTGACAGGTTTGATTATGAAACATGATCATAGCTGGATCCCTTCCAAGTTCCCGTTCAAAAAACATCTCCAGGAATGTATCAATCAAACGCATAAAGGGTAACTGATAGATTTGTGTGATAACATAATCTCCATCGAAATGAACTGTTATTGTTGAAGGTGAACAAAGATGCAGTATTGGAATAAATAGTAGATTATACTGTATTATAACTGTGTACACATTGAGGCCTTGTGGATTAGGTCTAGTTTATTCAAAGGATTAATATATAACATTTCTACTGTGTCGGACACTCTCTAAGGTCAACAGATTGTTCGCCAGTTTATCACCAGTTCACCTCCTGGGCACTGTGTGGTTGATGTGACAATTAAAAGAGGATTTTATTCAAATCCTCCATTTTCACATCTATCTCATCAAACTGAGGGCTGTGCTTTTACATGTAATGTGAAAAAAAGGAGAAACTGTTGACATCTTTCACATGCAGATGTGACAGAAGCCAACCTGAGAGGTTTGGGCTTCTATGACCATCCACTGTATAAACTCAAAGCAAAACGACACTTGATTACCTCTCCCCTTCCCAAGGAAATGCCTTTTCTCGCAATGTTAACAAAAGTAAAAATTATTTGGCCATCTGCCATCCACTCCAAAATGTGTTATTTTTTGGCCCATGCTACTCTGAAAAACTAACCTTATCATAATGGGTGGAGGTATATATGAAACTCGCATGTATTAATGCTAAAGAGGACATTAGAAAACCCACTTTTAGTAAAACAATAAAACTGTGCTTCATTGTAGGTTAATTTAATCTTTAGACTTTTGGTTCAGGGGAACTAATGCTAATGGAATATTAAACTCATAGCAGGAGAAGAAATAAGGATAACTGCATCAAAGCAAAAACTTACCACACTGTTTTGTATTTGGAAAATTAAAAGCCTCATTAAAAGGGTGAGGTTTGACACGTGTCGGCAGGTTGCCTTTTAATGTGGGCACCCGCATGTCTGCACAGGTGTCAAAAGGTATAGTTTTTAGCCATGGGAGCCGCAAGGGGTGAAAATATCAATCAACAGGTTTTTGATGCTGAAAAATATCTCAACTTTATTGGATAGAATTCGATTACATTTTGCACAGAACACTTCCAGAATAAAAAAATTTAAGCAACTTTGGGGATCCAATTACCTAACATTTGGGATTTCAAATGTAATGTCTCAACAACAACTGGATGGATTGCAAATAAATTTGGTTCACATATTCATGTCTCCCTAATGTATTATAGGGTTGATCCCCTGACTTTTCACCCTGGGCCATCATCAGGTTGTCCAAAACTTTGGATGATGACTAAATACATGCCAAGCTGATCATTTCCCCATCAACCTCAGTTAGAGTTAGCATGCTAACAGGCTAAACTAAGATGGTATGTTATAACTGCTATCTACATAAGCACTGCCTTTGTGAACATATTAACATATTGATGTTAGCATTTAGGACAGCCTCTACCATAGAGCTGACTCCCTCTACAAATTATTAATGAGAAAGTTTTGATAAATTGTATCTTTGGTCAGTAGAATTATTTTAACAGCTGTCTTGGAAGGGTGCTGAGAGACTGCGCTGACCAGCTGGCGGGGATCTTCACCAAGATCTTCAACCAGTCCCTGTCCCAGGCCATCGTCCCATCCTGCCTGAAAACATCCACAATCATCCCGGTGCCGAAAAAGAACAACATCGGCTGCCTAAATGACTACCGTGCAGTGGCACTCACCTCCACCCCTGCTAAAGTTTTTGAGAAGGTGGTCCGTCCCCACATCGTCTCATCCCTCCTTCCCGGTCTGGACCCCCACCAGTTCGCCTACAGGGCCAACAGGTCCACGGAGGACGCCATCGCCACAGCTCTCCACTCTACCCTGTCTCACCTGGAGAGTAGGGGGAGCTACGCACGGATGCTCTTCGTGGACTTCAGCTCTGCATTTAATACCATCCTCCCTGACAGACTGGTGACCAAGCTATCAGTCCTGGGAGTATCCCATTCCTTGTGTCTATGGATTAAGGACTTCCTGTCTGATCGCCGCCCAGAGAGTGAGGATTGGCACCCACACCTCCACGTCCCTCAGTCTCAGCACCGGATCACCACAGGGCTGCGTGCTGAGCCCCTTACTATATGCCCTCTACACCTATGATCTCGTCCCCGCCCACACCAGCAACTCCATCATAAAGTTCGCTGATGATACCACCGTGGTGGGCTGCATCTCAGGGGGTGACGAGACCGCGTACATGGAAGAGGTGGAGCAACTGCTAGCGTTGTGTAAAGTAAACAACCTGCAGCTGAACAAGCTGAAAACCCAGGAAATTATCATTGACTTTAGGAGGAAGAAGACCGTCATGCAGCCCCTGTACATTGATGGAGGCTGTGTGGAGAGAGTATCAGTGATCACATTCCTGGGTGTTCACCTGGCGGAGGACCTGTCCTGGAGGACCAACACCACGGCAACCGTCAAGAAGGCACAGCAGAGACTCTACTTCCTGATAATACTCAGGAATTACCACCTCAGACAGGATCTGCTTGTGTCCTTCTACCGCTGCGCCGTGGAAAGCATCCTCACCTACTGTATCTGCGTGCATCAGCTGCACAGCCGCAGAGAGGGGTGCGCTCCAAAGGGTCATCAACTCGGCCCAGAAGATCATCGGTTGCCCCCTCCCCTCCCTGGAGGTACTGTACAGCTCTCGTTGCCTTAAGAAGGCAGTCAAAATCCTCAAGGATCCACACCACCCGGGTAACGAGCACTTCGTACGGCTGCGCTCAGGCAGGCGCTTCCGTACCATGTCTTCCCGGACAAACAGACTCAAGTTCAGTTTTTTTCCCAGGGCCATATGTGCACTAAACGCTGCTAATATTTAAATTATATAAGCCTTCCGTGCAATACGAGGGGAATCATGCAATTTAATTTATTATTTATTTATGTACATATTCCCTATCATGTCTATTTTAAGTCCCATTTATTGTTTTTATAGTGTCTTGTTGTTTTTATATTGTCTTGTTGTTTTTATATTGTCTTGTTGTTGCGTGTTGGCACCTTGAGTTTATTGTAATTTCGTTGTACCTGTACAATGACAAATTAAAGATCTATCTATCTATATTCAAGGCAAGGCAAGGCAAGTTTATTTATATAGCACTTTCCAACACAAGGCAATTCAAAGTGCTTTACAAAAAATGAAAGACATTAAGAAAATGGCATTTAAAATCAGTCATTAAAAAGAAAAGCTAATAAAATAAACATTAAAAGAAAAAATACATGGATAAAAGTTACAGTGCAGTCTAAGATATGAATAGTTCAATTAAAAGCAGCGACAAAAAGAAAAGTCTTCAGCCTGGATTTAGAAGTAGTCAGAGTTGCAGCGGACCTGCAGGTTTCTGGGAGTTTGTTCCAGATATTTGGAGCATAATAACTGAACGCTGCTTTACCATGTTTAGTTCTGACTCTGGGGACAGAAAGCTGACCAGTCCCTGAAGACCTGAGAGATCTGGATGGTTCATCATTTAGCAGGAGGTCAGAAATGTATTTTGGGCCTAAACCATTCAGTGCTTTATAAACCAGCAGCAGTATTTTTGAAATATATTCTTTGACACACAGGAAGCCAGTGTAAAGACTTCAGAACAGGAGTGATGTGATCCACCATTCAAGTACTTTTACTTTGGTGGCTAACCACCACTTATTTTTTCAACTGGGAAACTGTGTGCTAATCTTTTATAATGTCTTAAGACTCTAATGATTAGGAGAGCAGGAGGAGGAAGATTGTCATGGGAGAAGGAAGAGGATGAGAAAGCAAAGGAAAAA